GTATAATCCACGCAATATTTTTGCCCATCTCTTTGAGAAAATTTGTCTTGTTCAACTTGATCTAAGCGCTTGTCATCAGCCGTTGCTCAATCATATTCTCTACACAAGGTAGCGTGCCATAACTTAACTACTGAGTGATCTTAACTACACGAGAGACCCTGTTTCATTGGGATATCCAAACACCGTGAAGAGAGTTGAAAATGCGACGCGCAGCGGAGTATTTTTGACGAAATTCGAGGTGTTTGGATAGCCGATGAAACACTGTCTCGAGTGTTTGATATGTCTTCTCAATGGAAACAAAAACTAACGAGTAAACGGAAAAGTAAAATCGTCAAAATCTATGTTAATTAAGACCGGGTATCCAAAGTGATTTTCTTTGTTTTAATTTGATGAATTATTAATGAGTTTAAGAAATTATTTTTGAAATCATTTCGAAATTGTCAAAAAGTTTCGAAAATACGAGAGATGGAATATCTAGGATGTGATGAGCGTGGGCCAAAGGAAGTAACTGAGACCCCGACGGGATTCAAACCCATTGAGTCCTCGGATACTAATCCTGCACTCCAACTACTGAGCTACAGAGAGACCCATGCTGAGCGAGGCCATTTACGAGATTCACTTTTGACACCTGTAACGCATAGCGCTAGGCTGGCAAAGTTAAAAGGTACCTGTGTGGAGATAAATAAAAATGACAGATGGCAACTGAAGTTCGGTAACTCAACGCTAACGATGAAAAGTTCAGCATGTCATTTTTGTAATTAAGAAGTAGAAAAAGCGACATTGTTTCCACAATTTTTTCGAATGCTCGCAAACTTTCTTTAGCTCGATATAAACACGGAAAAAACATTTTCGTTCGTCACATAACGCAAAATTCGATTTCAACGCCGACGTCTGCCTCATAATACAAGGACAAGTTGAATAGGAAACAGCAAACATAAGCCAGCACTTTGAGGAAAAAACAAGTTTTTCTTCCGTGCGGAGTGGTGCTTTCTTAACAAGACTCTAAAAGACTGTTACGAATTAATGTTAAAAATGTAATTAATTGGGAAGAAATTTCTGGACAAACCCTGCAGCCGTAGGCACGTCCCCATGTTCCACATCTGGGTTTTGGCAATGCGGCTACAGCTAGGAAAAGACACAAAAATATCAGAGGCCTCAACGAGTTCATTTTTTAACCGTTCGTCAGCAAGAGCGTGAATAACACTGAGTTATAAGACGTATATAACTCCTATAAACTGCACGATCATTGCTAATTAATGAACGAAAACTCTATTTTTGCCAAATATTACAAAATGTATCACGAACAAATTAGCGCTGGTGGTAAATATCTACCTTATTGTTCCTCAATCAGTTGGGGGATCGCCAGTAACTGTATATGAAATGATGAATCGTTATCTGTTAAATTGCCACGAGATGACGAACTTCCTTGAAAACTTGCGCATCTTTGTTCCTTTTGCGCGATAAAACATGTCAGGCATTTCCTTAAAGTTAACTAAATAGTTAGTTCTGGTAAAAAAAAAAGAGTGCAACGAAGCGTGAGATTGACTAATCTGGATTCAATAGCTGAATACAGAGCGAGAAAATGACATGGTTCCCATTTAGCACTGCGGTTTGGAAAACTGAAGATATTGTATTATAAAAGAAAATAATTATTTACTTGCCAGTTGTGGAAGAGGTCTCTAACGCTATTTGTGTATTTACAAAACAATTTGAAATAGACGCTCCTCTCCATGCGATCGATGCCCTCTGCGGTTACTGATGTGTTTTTTAAATGAGTGATTAGGTTGGTTCTAAAATCGTGGTAAATGTTCTTAAATCCAGTTCAAAGCATGCGACAAGTGCGCTGCATTCACGCAATGCCGATATTGAGTCCCTGTCAGTATTGAAATAGACTAAACGTCGGCAGCAAAGCGTTTTTTACTAGCTGCACCATTAACTTCGAACTTCTAAGAAAATTTTAAGAGTGGAGGTTAGGTAATGGCGATCTAATGGAAAGGAGCCGTATAATATTCTGTGGTCTGCTTGTTGTAATAAATACTTCGATAAACATATACACAGACATGAGTCTGAAGCTGTTTCTAACTAATAACGTGGTCTGTAATCTTCATGTTGAGTTTTCGGCGGGAAATAATTAACTCGATGCTGGAAGCCAACTGTGATAGAATCCGGCTGTGAGGAGAAAACACCATAAATTATCAGCCCTAGGCCGAGAGAAGTCCGTTTACAAAAGACTGTGGCTCGAAATTCTCCAAGTACGATTCAAAGCAAATTTGTAAGGCTAATGAGATATTGACTGAAAAGACCTTGGCCTGGTTGACTGATTTTAATTATTAACTCTGCTGTCGTATTGTTTTAATGAAATGGATTATTAACGGTTCTCTAGCAATCCGATTGAGTGCACACACAACTGGTATACAAATAACATTCACTCAAATGCACGATCCATGTATTTGAGAGAAAAAGCCTCTAATCAGTTATCATTTAAACTTCATTTCTCTGCATGAATTCTACCACCAAGAGCTTCTACGGAGAGCTAAATCGGCTAAGAAAATTGGGTCGAGAAGACGGACTGCATGCAGTTCTCGCTCCCGTGTTGAGACTCCGGGCGTGAGCCCACCCACAGCGTATAAATTAGCCAAATGCATGCTTTATATCGCATACATTTATCTTAATTACTTCACATGAAAGTGCTTTGTACATTAGTAACAAGATGGATAGAGCGGTACCTGGAGGCGATGAACCATTATTTGCTATATATAAAGCTCTTAGCTTTGAGCACTTAGAGAAACCGTGGAGCAATTTTGGATAAAAACTAATGGAACCTCTTTTGTCAGCTGTTTACCACCAATCGCTGTGGAATAGCTACAAGGTTAGAGCATAGCAGGTGTATTGAAAAGAAGGGCAACATTTTGTTCATTCTTGGCTGGCGATGGGGTGAAATTTCAGCTGTGAAAAAAACTTAGAACAAGTACTGACACGGGCAAATACTTTATGATAAAACAGTTTCTTAGTGTGTGTTTATTATTTAAGCTTCGGCAACATTTTTGCACTTAATTGTTACCTCAATTGTAAACAACAAATGGAGTCTTTACATCGCTAGAGCTGGTTGAATTGCTATACACTAGTTACTGCAAGTTTCAAGGCTGGCTAATTTCAGTTTAAATCTATTCCTAAAAGTTGTAGCTTCCTCTTCTTTTTTTTTTTTTTTTTTTCTTTCATTGATTCATATATGAATTAATTTCTATTTCTTTTCTCTCTGTGACATAGGCTCTACGTCTTCCAACAGTCACAAGTATTCTCATTCCTGAAGGATTACCAGATTGGAAGGCTGTCCCACAATATCTCATGAAAAGGTGTGCAATAACCCGTGTATGAACTGGCATATATATTGGTTAAGTATATTCTTCTGGAAACAATATTTTTTTAACAGATAGGTCCTGCTTTCTAAGTGGATGTTAATAAGGAACCTCATACATGAGACACTTCGTACAGATAAAGAAAATTGTTTTGAACAATTTTTTTTCTTAAAAGCGTGTCTTCAAAGAGAAATACAGAATACATTTATACTTGTTATTCAATGGTTTCTCGTGGTATACCTGGGAATATCTCACAAGTCACTAACCTGGGAGGAAAAGTCACTTGGTTTCTCTCATTCTTCCTTCTGAACTACCGTCGCATGAAAAATTACTGCTGTCCCGCATGTAGCGTTCACTAGTCGCTTTTAGTAGTCACTGTGGGTGGATTTCATTCGAAAAATGTTCAAATGTTGTTGTTTGTAGTGGTCAATGCGCTTAGCTACACCTAGCTAGTTCACAGGCATGCCACTTAAACTGAAAGAAACAAATATATCAACTAAACATAATAGGCTTAAAAATCCCAACTGGCGGGAGGCAGACCATTTGGCTATTTACAAGCATGACCGAGAAGCTTAACAAGGGTCTACCGAGAAACAACTCCAGCTTAGTGGTCAGAGCGGGACTTGAACCCGCGACCTCCGGATTTCAAGTCCGGCGCCCTAGCCACTCGGCCACGCTGCCTCCTATATTTCTGGTAATTCCTTTTTTTTTTCTTGAGCAAGTGAACAAAAAGGTAAAGGCGTGGTGTTTTTATTCACTAGGCACAAGGTTGAACTTGTAGGAGGTATTGGTCCTACAGTTGGAAAGGTGATGTACTTAGATATGATTGATATATGGATCGGATGCAGAATATATGAAGTATTCAGTTTACCCAGTGCATACTCTGCATTTCTGCTACACACATGCCGCTTAAGTGAGCACTGAGACCAATTCTTAGCTATGAAAATAACCGATGCGATTTAGCGCCCTCCTTCCAGTAAGTGCTCCTATTCCAAGAAGCGCCCTCCTTCAAATTGACGCCCAGGCTATTCCAATAAGTGCTACTTTGATCAGATTTCTACCCCTTGCAGTTGTATGGGTATCAGAGGAAATTCCACGGTCGCTACTTTACTAGTTGTGAAGTTTGATTGCGAAAATAATCCAAGAGATATCTTCAAGTACCGCTTCAAACCCGTGCTGGCGTATTTTCCGAGTTCTGGGCCAAAGCATTATACCCCGTATGATGTCGGCAAAAGGTAGCTATTCCTAATGGAGGGGGTATTGTAGTTACTAACCTGCTTTCTCTCACTCCTCAGGTATGGCGAGTAGGATTCATGGGACACAACTCGCACCCGGAGAATGTGGACATGTTCTTGCGACTTTTCAAAGAAGCGCTAGAAGTCGTGAAAGGCCTTCCAAAGTCCCAGCTTTGACAATAATGCCAGTTAACTTTTGAATTTCCCTTAATGTAACCCAGACATCAAGAAAGATATTTTAGAGAGGAAGCAAACGAGAGATTTTAAGTTATTTATGAGCCTCGCCAGAGAATGTTCACCTAGTGAAAACATGAAATACATTCGTTAGAAACTGGTCTGTCCCACTTTCAATTCCATTGTTTGTCTTCATTTGACTCATATAATTTATTTCAGACATACATTCAATCAATGGGCCTAATGAGATTAGAAACGGGGTCTAAGCCATGGCCAGGGTGACAGTTACTTTTTTAGGCGCATCACTTCGGTGCATGGCTAGCACGGGCCTTGTGTCCTTGAAAATGAAGTAAGGTAGCTTATCGCCTTGAACGGTCCTAGAATTTTAACAGCAGTCCTTGAATTTTGTTGGCAAGGGAGAAGGGTTGGTGTTAACCCGTGGTGAATTCGTGTGGCGACACTTCTATCCTTCTTTATGAATGGCTCGCTCATACATCCTTTGGAAATAAATGCGTACATAACGAGGTCAAGGCCCGGCCTACGTAACGACAACCCTTTCAGTGCTTCTTTCTACTCAAATATATAAATAGATGCCGGTAAATTGTTACGCAAATCAGTGTGGTTCGGGGATCCATATAGCCATAGCAAAAGCCTAAGTTTCGGAAGTCAAACATTTCGGAACATGTTAAGTAATTGAAGCTTGTTTAGAACCTTCGCTTGTTTGAGCTCTAGATAATAGCTGGGAACACTGGTACAATACGAAGAACACTTTGTTCAGATTCAGTTTTTTGTATCAAACTGGTCAATAATTCATCTTATTATATGGCAAGCTCCGCGAGCGGGCAAGATGAATCAAATCCTGCGCTGTGATTGGCTACCCGAGCGGGCAAGATGGAGCTATCTTGCCCGCTNNCGAGTTTATGGACCTCGACTCCGTCTCGGTCCATAAACTCGCAAAAAAAGAACTTGGCCAATATCCAGCCATCTTGACCGAACAAGCTTAGTCAATAACCCATATTTGTTGAAACAAAGGAAATTGTAACAATGGCAGGGATGTATAATTATTCCTCCTTTTCCTTGCTTAGTTTCGACTGAGGTGGTTTGTCAAAACTGTCGCAGCAGTCTCAAAATAAAATCGAATTTAGTCAACAATAGTCCCCTGCCCGACATATTTTGAACTCTCTTCTCGCCGTTAAGAATACAATGGAACACTCTCACGTGTCTGAGACATTGTTGTGGACGAGAATAATGAACAATTTAAACATGATCTCAGGCCCATTCTCAGGCTAAAATGTCCAGAAATTCAGATTCAGCTTAAAACTGTTTGAGGAAAACTCTGTCAGCCGGGGAAATCACGTGATTATCATGACACCACCGTTCTCGAACAGCTCCGTATTCAAAATGTTTTCCGTCCACGCTAAAACGAAAAAGCCAGCGTTTTCAAATTCCTCGGGTTGGAAGAGCGTTTTCGAAAAGCAACGTTTTCGTGACGGATTATTGTGGACGATAGGCCTAGCCGTAGAATTAAAGCAACGTGTTCAAGTGTGGACGCTGCCTTAACTGCAACAATGTATCGTGATACGTGAAGCCTTAAAAGTATCAGTTTATTGTCGAGATTCGAGACTCACGCACAATACACTCGATTAGTTTTTGTCTGGGCTTTGTCCTCAATTTATTAATATTCGTTATTCATGATCATCTTCGCTTACGGTAGTGATTTTCTACAATTAACATATTATCTTGATGACGGACGAAGTTTTTCATGCATTATTTAACTTTTGTCCCAAATCACAGTGCTCTAAGTCACGAAGATTGCATTTAGCAATGAGTTTCTTTTGTTCTGCATCCCCAAGTGATCATCACAAATTCTAATATCTGACGTTCTCATGTAAATTGAACAATTAAATCAGTCTGTGTTCAGAAAATTTACTACAAAAAATCTTTTCGTGTCTTTTTTGACTTCACTGATCAAGATCAAGCTCAAAAAGGGTTCTGATTCTCTCAGTTTCCTTTTTGGGGGAGGAAAATTGTACAATTTCTGAAGAGAGTTGAATATTATATGCAACTTGTCTCGTTTGCTTCCCGATGGTTGATACATATAAAGAAACAACTGCGAGAGATGTCTTGTGATTGAGAAACGTGTCGCATTAATTTGTGATCAGTTCTTTTTTTTTTTTTTTTTAATTCCTCCGTCATTACAGATTCGTCCGTAGAACTCTCCCTCTGCTTTTTTTATCCATAGTGATAAGAAAAAACGTTCAAGTATTCTTGAAAGATTTGTCTTAATCGTCTTCCTTCTGAATATACATGAAGTCAGTTCACCCCCTTTATTCCACATCTTTTATTTAATCAGAATACGTCATATCAGCTGCAGATAACCCAGTGAAAGGTATTGATTGACATGTGGATGCAAGCTGCCATAGTTATTTCAAATTTAGAAGTTTCAGATTTTGTGTAAATTTTTCAGTGGAAGAAGCAAACAACGTTATCGCGGTTTTTTCCCGTCATCTTTGCTCGTCCCTGTAGCAGAAGTCTAAATATGCAGTATTTGCTATTCCTCGTTTTTCAACACTGCGTCGAGCACAGACTGTTTTCAAAATAAAGCGTGTTTTCACTCCACGTTCATATCAGAAATCTATCCTTAAGTGTTTCCTGTATCACCATTGCCTTGCGCATCTTGTGCAAGCTGATTCCTCCCTGAAAGATCTCCTTTTCGAGCTCTTCACAAATGCTTCCCCTTCGTGGCGTCTCAGAGTACGCCTCGAGACAAATCTCTTCGGGCAAGGTATCCAATTCTGGACTTTCTTGAATCGCAGAAGAGCTTTCGCAATAATGCGAACCTCCTCGCTTTTCCTTTAAAAACGCAGCGTCATCCAGGGACTTTTCCGTCTTCAAAACTCTGTTTTTCCTAGACGGTTTTTCGTGACTCATACTTACCCATCTGGTTTTTGACAGCTTAAGGCTCCCGTTAAACAGTTTTCTTCTTTGATTAGCCGGTATGAAAGAAGATGGTGCCACTCTCTCAGTCAAGTCGTTACTCGATTTTTCGCTGTTAACAACATAAGATGAAGGCTCCGATCTCTCGTCTTGTCTCCCCTTCACTGAAATGCAGTTTCGAGGTTTAAGGTCAGGGTGTTTTTCTCCTCGAGATTGAATGCCTCTATCCATAGTTTTATGAAAACATTTCAAGTATTCATGAGTGAATTTTCTGGGTCCTCCGACTTCGTCTTGACTTCCATTCGTCTAACCAGTGTTCAGAATTTACAAGTTGTTCGCATTCGCCCGGTGACATAGTCATTATTAAAACTAATTACAAGGAAAACAATGGTCGGTGTAAATTACTTCGAAATCTCCCACTTGTCACGCTGCGACAACAAGACGCTTTTTTTTCCTAATTTATTGAACAGTTCGTGGTCGGCTCGTTGAAATATCCGCGGTCGACTTGCAATGAATAAAGTGAGTAAAATGAATGAAAATGCTATTTGAAAAGTTTTGATATCATCTGCTGCATTAATTCAAATGAAAAGCTGATTGCCTAAAAGCATTTTAATCACCACAAGACTGAATAGCTATCAGTCAAGTTTGCCAGTGTGTGCGCGCTATTAGAACTAACCAGTCATTTCAACACAGGGGTTCGTTTGTAGACAGGAATAAGCGTCAACACATTTCACGCACAGATAAGCAAAGCGCGATACATGACAGTCTGCATGGATTTGAAATTCTATCAATTTGTTTCAAACCTTGGAGTCTTTCCATGTGTTTTTATCGCGCTTTTGTGATCTTTTTTGGCAATTTTCAGTCACGTGGTCCTGTTAAAGGTGGATTTGAAGTCGACTCCAGCCGCCATTTTCTTCTCTTTCGGTGACGTGATACAAATGTCTACTTTTTGGAAGATTTTCCACCGGGTTGACCCAGATTTTTTTCACGGGGCGTCTCCCCCGACGAGCAGTCATTTTGAAACTCGTGGCGGAGAAGACGATGGACCTCCCGGTCGAATCCTAAAAGGGGCCACCTCGTCCCCAGGGTTTTCTCCTTGACGATTTTCAAAAGCTATGGCGGCTGTGTCCATTTGAACACTTTGGGAGGGGAGGGAGGGGGAAGACACCATGAACGCAATTTAGTTGTCTTGATCGAGCACACAATGGCCCTGACCAGAGCTCGAACCTGTATGAGCGCTCAAACCGTTTGTCCACTTCCCCTCTCGTTCAATGCGAATTATCTTTGCATCAAACGTCATTTTTGAACCCTTTTATTTCTTATCTGGTTCTTACAGAGTACAGTTGTAGGAAGTCGCAACACCTTGTAGAGTTTCCTAAGGGGAGGAGACATGGGGAGACAGGGAACAGTCGTCCACGGCGACGCTTAAAATATCCCGTTCTGTAATTTCCTAACCTTTTACTGACCTTGTACTCTAACCAAAGCGTCTGTAGAAGAGACAGACTCGGAAGATTCAGTTAGTTAGCTTATTACATCTTACTATACTATTATATCCAGAAGCTTATCAAGGTGATATGCTTCTGTTATCATATGGCTAGCTCCGCGAGCGGGCAATATGAAGCAAATCCTGCGCTGTGATTGGCTACCCGAGCGGGCAAGATGGAGCTATCTTGCCCGCTCGGGACTACCCGCCGTGTCCCGCAAGAANACCTCGACTCCGTCTCGGTCCATAAACTCGCAAAAAAAGAACTTGGCCAATATCCAGCCATCTTGACCTCACACTTGGTCAATAACCCATATTTATATCCTATTTTAGTTTCTACAACATGATTTACACTACAAACGGGGGCGATAACTTGGCTAGTTCTTTAATCGTTTCCTTTGTTCTTTTATATAGGTAATTAAGGTACAGTAACATTGCGTTGTAGTTCGTCAAACTACACATTAACCCTTTGAGTCCCAATTACGCATATATATATATATGCGTAATTAATGTCGAGTTCTTTGTATCACTTGTGACGTCATCAGTGTTAATTTTATCAGATATTCTTGATAAGCAGATAGTAGTGCTAGGCTAGGCCTTTCCCTACAATGGTCAGGTTTAGATATCGACGACATTCCGACGTCGCAAATCGAAAAACAACGTTATCAGTTTTGGTGCAAAAACGGTGGTAAAAATCGTCCACTATGCCTATGATTGATCAAGGTCCATTTCTAGGCTTCGCCCATAATTGACATCCAACTTTTCACGGCAGCCAGAAAGAACATGCAACGCAAAAAGAAGCCAGAGTAAAAGGGCCGAGAAAAAAAAAGAAAGGAAAGGGGCAACAAACAAAATTGAGAACGGTTAATGGCAAAAGAAGTCCAAATTTTGGGTTATGTGCATGCCCAGCATTGAAATATTGCTCAATTTTGTACATAATCCTCGAAAAATCTCTCCTTGTGGTAAAAGAAAAAGGCTTTCTTAGCAAAACTTAGGCTTATTTAGCGTCATGGCAGCCAAAACACCTTACCAAACGGTTAAAAACGGTATTTTTTGGCGAAAATTTGGTATTCAAAGGGTTAATACACATGAGCTGCAGACGTCATGGTTGTACAATGTTTTCAACTAGAGCATCAATATGCAAAGGAAAAATTTGTATACTGAGTGTAACTAACCAAATAGAATGAAAGTAATTTCCGTAGGCCGAGTCCAATTTGTCAATCTGAGGAATTTCCACTCGTCGACTTGAACTTGAGATAGCGAAGGGCTACAGTGCTTCAAACATCGGACCAATCTCAATATTCTCAAGTACTATCCGGAACAACGTTTTGGACTGCGCAACAGTTCGCTTTTTTTCGCGCGTGGTATACGGATTGTTTTATACTGTCTTGGCTTGGCGAGCGTTTGGCTAGGCCTCAATCAATCTACTAACGAAGTTATACTTTTCGAAAAAATATTATGGAACAAAAAGATCTCAAAATAGATACAAAGTAGAAACTAAATGTGAAACCTATAATTATATTCATATAAATTTACATTAATATAAATGAATAACTGCTTCCTTACAATTTTCAGTCAATAGACGGATTCGACCTTACAATTGTGCAAATTGCCACACGCAACTGATTGCATTGTAGTATGTACAAACAGGACAATTGTAACCTCCCATATGTATCGTCACATGACCTAAATCGACTGGCAACAACACGTTATCTAAATCCATCTAAGATGTCACTGAACGGAACTCATCTAAGTGCAAAGTCCAACTTTTAGCAACAAAATATATAAAAGCCACTGATGTATCCCATAATGCTGCCGTTTACTTTTGGCGCGAAGTCTTGACATTTTGACCGTTTTGATACTTACTTGATATACCTTTAGGCTCCTCGTGGCGCAAAGGCGCGCTGTCCACAATGCTTCGCCAACGGACTCCGTTTGTTGCCGTTTTGATAAAAGGCGCATATTTTATGTGAGAGCGGCAACCGAGTGTCTTTGAGAGAAAAGAAAGATCTCTTTATCCAATGTTTGTACGCTTAGTTTTGTCCACCCAGAGTATATGCATGCATATGGATCGCCCCTTCATTTACATGTAAAGCTTCAAACCGTATCATCATTTACTCAGTATCCACGCCATAGCGTTTTTGCATCATTGTTGTACGCGCCTGCTCCTTCTAGAGAAGATGCCAGTTCGTTAAATTGACCGCAACTATAAGGTCCCTTCTCAAAGACCTCAACGTCGCACCCTTTTGCAAGATGCACTTTTCGATCTCATCGCAAATTGCTTTTCGTCGCTTGCTTGGCGCGCACGGATTGTAGATGTACTCATCGCCGCTTACAAACACAGCTGCAAGACGTTCTTCTTCGATGATTTCCTCCCTCGCTGTACTGTTTGTGCTGCAGCCAGTCACTACAGTTCTGTGCTTAAAGCTCTCCGAGAAGGAGCGTCGTATCCCCTGTGTTTTGGACGCTATTAATTTTTTCACCGAGTCATTTCTTTGTAGCACTGGTCTCGCGCCTTTGCCAACTTTGCTGAACTCGCTTTTCAAAGAACCGTTGCTTGTTTGTTTTATCGATGTAGCTGTTGCTTGGAAAGGCAACCAAGATATTGACTTATCAAGCCACGCAAATTTTAAATCGTGGTTTTTGAAAGGATTTGTTACCGATGCAGGTAAATGGTATTCTTTGCATTCTGATACCGCTTTTCGTGAAAGCTGTTCTCCCCTCATCTTTGGTGTTCGGTTGCAAATCGCTTTAAATGACCCCAAATGATATTGGTCTGATTGGATCTTTCCACTTCTAAAGATTATTTATATTGAGTACATTTGTCTGTGAAACACTAATGACATCTGTTCTTAAATTAAATTTGAATTTCAATTAACGGCATTTCCTTGATAAAAAATGCAATCAATATTTAGAAAAAAGGAAATAAGGTTTTATTCTTCCAACCACTGTGCACATCTGAACTAAGTTATTGAATTCAGATGGGACAGATACTGTTTTATGAAGCACTAGTCTCAGTAAGTTTCTAAATTCATATCTTGTTATGTTACAGCGGCTCAGGCTTCTATCAATAAGCGGACATACACGTATATTGCTCTCAAAATCCTTCCATGATGTTTAGATTATTGATTTATTGCATGGCTGGAAGCGACGATTAGCTTTGTGAAGTCGGATCGCACAATTTGGCACGTTTTGAAATTTCTATCGACTTCTGTTCAAGGAATATAAAAGGAATTTATTTTGGGATATGATCTGAGTAGTGATTTAGCAGCAGTGGGTGTTGTGGTTGAAGACAATAATCGGAAAAAAGAAACTGCTTTTTATATCTTCTCGGTGATTTCCTTTTTTAATTGCTCACGCATCAGAAGAAAACAATGCTTAATGTACTTCAAACACAAAGTTAAGTATGTTGCAAACAGCAATGAGGCTTAAAACTACTGAAATAAATCGCACTTTCTAGCTATCTACTAAGTAAACACCTCAAGCGATGTTCTTTTTCTCGGCACGTTTTCACAAGAGGCGATATATTTGCTGTGATTGGATAAATTTGGTTTCATATCTCGGTAATTTTACGGCCCTTAAGCGACTTTACAAACGATTGTATTCCGCCAAGATATGAAATTGCCGCTCGACTCACAGCAAAAACACCTGACTTTTTCCCTTACACTGTGGAAATCTTTGACCTTTCTACAGTAATGGTTTGCTTTCTGATATAACCACAATAATGCCAAAAGCATTATTCCGTAGAAGTTTTTTCCTTAAATACCTGATTTAACAATAAACTTGCAGTCGCACTTTTGGAGATTCGCACTTTTGGAAGTTTGCAAGCATGAAAAATACGTGCGAACGCGTCACAATTGGTTTTGGTTGTACTTCTGATTGGATGAAAAAGTGGCGCGAGTTTTTTAAGCCAATAATCGTGTGGCGTAGAAAGTGCAAAACCAATTACTTTTCGACACACCGCTCTAAGAGAAAGTAAGCGTTCTAATTACTGGGTTGCCGTAGGCGAACCCAGTCCTAAAATGCGAACGGGGCTGTCTCCTACGTGGGAAAATGGCTAAATTGCGCAATCACTACCCAGAAGACATTGCGTATGTGCTTTGTTTCCCTCGCGCCTTTCGAACGACAGAAGAATCTATTCTTGGTCGATCAGAAGACTGTTTGTGCTGCCAGTTTTTAGAGTGGAAACTTCTGGTTCACTTAAGGTATCATGGTAGGTGAATTTTTACGAAAAATGCGAAAAATATTTTTTTTTTGCTGTTCAAATTGAGAAGACTGAGATAAATATTTTGCAAAAAGAATGGTAAGAAAAGCTTTGTTACTTTTTTGCGATAAAGAGAAAAACTATTTTTGAATCTCATTAACCCCTTACGGCGCGTTGACACTTCTAAATAAAATTCACCGCCAGTTGTCACTTGTAAAGCGAACTACGGTGTGATATTTCATTTGTGCCGCACTCGAACTGCTCTCGATCTGGTTCTTGCATCACAAGAATCAGGACGAAAACCCAAGAAAACGTCTTGCCCATTTTCGTCTTTGAAGAGGCCGGAGAGGCGAAAATCTGGTGGAACCCACAGGTTCAGCATCGAACAAGATCCGTTGGCTCTGAGCGACCCACAGTCAAAAAGAATGGTTGAAGGAACTCGAGGACACTAGTCCCACCAATGAAGCTGAAGGACAAACTACAACAAGTGCTAGTCGCACGGAATTGCTGGAGAATTAGAACGGACGCGATTCCGAAACTTCCACAGCAAGAGAGTCAAGCGCACATGTAGACGTCGAGATTTCCTCTTTTGGCTTACGTGTAGACATGTAATCATCAATCCAGGAAAACAGGTCACCTGATATACCAATGGCTTTTTGCTTTTCTAGTAGGATGGTATGATTCACAATGTCAAAAGCTTTCCGAAAGTCAATGAAAAGCACGCCCACTTTCAGGCCCGTGTCCAGT